GGGATCGGCGTGTTAACAAAAACTCATCACCTCATGAGACCGTGATGTAGACGTTGATTCTCTCTCTCTCTATCGACACCAAATTTGACATGTTTCTACGTAGAAGAAGAGAATTTGTCTCACATGCAATTTTCCTCTTTTATAATTTGCTGTGTAACTAGTTTTACTTAAGAAACAATACCCATTTGACGAATGTTGGGGAACGAACTGAAGTTTGATAACAAAAACAGCTTTGCCCTCCTTATAAAACTTTACGATGAAATTTGCTGAACTATTTTCTATATCTGTTCTATGAAAACTCTGATTGAAAGCTTCAAAGCCGTTTTTCGTTTTGTTTTTGTTTGTTTCTAATTATGATGTTTTTCAAGCAAGCGAGCGACATACATATGTAAGGTTTACATACCTACTTATAAATATGGTCGATGACTTTGCAAAACCGACCATCGAACACTTGCAAAAGCGCCAAATTCGCCGTTGTGGCAAATATTAGCTTCGGTCTCCCTGAACGTTAGACACCGAGAACTATGCATACAAATCGTAAAATCATTATTAGAGCAACCGATTTGTAAAATACATATGTAATAGCTAGAGAAAATACCGCCTATCAAGGCAATGCCTTCAAAGAAGAACCGCTTTTCTGTCTCGTGTAAAATTTGAGTGCCGAGTGAGATAGGCGGTTCTGCAATTGGTCGATGGGCGATTTTGTAAAGGAATCGACGATATGAACTTATAAGTACAAAGCTATTTGTAAGCATAAACTCAAACGCAAATTTCTCAAATACTCAGTTTTTCGTAAAACCCTAATTTATTTGTTCAAAGACTAACTTGCATGTGTAAATGCTAAGCGGTAGCTACATACAAACATATCTGCAAATATTTTAAACATGTAAATAAAATTATTTATATTTTTTACTTCAAACAATTTATTAATCACTATTTAACTATTAACGACAAAGCAGTTATCTGGAGTTATCTTTGCACTCACAAGGTAAGCTATTAAATGAAGCATTTCTTAATTATCTGCACAGGCCTGCGATTGTTTCCCCCTTAAAAAATCAGTTAGCAATTTGGGTAGGTTTAAGATAGTAAGCTACAAAAATAATAATAAAAAACTCCATCACGTAAAGCACGTCATAAGGTATCTGATTACACAGGGATGCGTGGTGTCCCCCATAAAAAACTAAATATTTGGGTAGGTATTGGGTACTACGCTACCAAAAAATAGTAAAAAAATTCCATCGCGTAAATTTTTCGGGAAAACTACTCTATCACTTTTCTTAGCGTTGCCGCTTATTAGTAGTATTTTCTTGGGAATAACAAAAGTTTAATCGAAGCGATGCACAAGAAATGTTTGTACTTCAGGGTATTCCTTTTTCTCAGGGGCGTATTTTCGTTATCCGATTTTAATTTTTTTTTTGCAGAGCACGATTTTATACCAAACGAACCCATCTAGGAGGAGTCTTGCTTTGGGGGTCAAAGTTTGAAAAACAAGGCGCACCCTAATATACAAAGATAAATACTAACATACATATTTAATGTAATAACTTCTCACCAAATATAAATTAAATTGTTGAAATCGCAAACAGACAGCAAAGTTAAGAAAATATAATGAAAAGGAATGCCAAAAATGCGAAAAACAACTTGAATCGACTTGACGGCTCAGGGGTACCTGGGGACCCTCTCCCTAACTTCTCACCACCTTCGCCAACAAACAAGCAGACTTGAAATCAAGAATTGAACTATGTGAAATCAAGGCGCATGCCGCTCTTACTTCAACTCTTAAATTTATGTGTTTTTTGTTGTATGTGTTAGAATAACATTCACTAGTTTGAATATTTATTTATTATGCCCATCTAAATATATGACGCAAATTAGAATGTTGCATAAATTACAACAACTTCGTGTTAAGGAGAAAATACATATAAAGGTTTTAAATAACTACTAGCAAATACCCGGCGTGCTTCACTGCGCCTTAAAAGTGTTTTTTTTGTGCTGTTCGATACCCGTATTGTAATTGATTCGCTTGACCTTGGTCTGTCGGTCCAAACAGGAATCTTTATTTACGGTTGATGGATAGCTCGTTTCCAATGGATGGTGGCAAGAAAGTGGCTGACTTACGTGTAATGATTTTGTATTACCCGCTTGTGGTGACTCAACTGCTGTCAAATGAATAGTCCAGATTTGATGCTCACAATTTCTTTATTATACGCTACAACTTGGCTGGGGATTTGCCGGAAGGAATGTGACGGCACCTTTTGCCTCTATAAATTTCCACTGAGGGGTGAGTATCGACTCCCCGAATGTCGCCAGCTTTTGATACAAGTTTTTAATCCACTTTAATTACTTGGTCGTAATTCCGTTCTTGCGAGGGCTGATGAGTGTGGTTCGCTCCGTGTCCAATTCCAAAAAGAAATATATTTTTCTAGTCTCGTGGTATGTGATCACCGAATCTTTTATCGTATGTCAGTGTGGGCATTTTCATAGTGGCCATGTCAATTCGTGTCTATACCGATATGATGGTTCGTGTCTTGAATAACTATTGGTTACGTACATTCATCTGGCAATCCCCCCCATTTTGAAGTTTAGCTTTGACAGTTTTGTTATGTTTACATTTCTTATAACGTTCTTATGTCTATTATTTGGGCAATAAAAAATAATAGATCATAATATTTCATTAATTTTATTGAATACAATTTTCGAAAATATTTTCGGCAGTAAACTTTTCTAAAACTCTCCAGTTTAATACCAGTTAATTGCAATATTCAATTTATCTTATCAATTAAATTAAATTAAAATTTTCAAACATGTGGCAACCCTCAAAAAATATTTCGGCTATAAGCCTATTTCTTTCGATAGCCATGTTGCAATATTTACTTTTTCTTATCAGCTTACTTAAACTACAATTTTCAAACAGGTGGCAACTCTCTAATTTTTCTCTTTCTTTATTTGAAGTTAGACCTCTAGTAATACATCGGTGAAAACTGCATTCAATTCCATGCATTGGTTGCCGAGTGATGCGCGTACAAACATACAGACAGTCAGACAGAAAAAATTCTAAAAATTGTTGATTTGGCTTCCGTTGATCTAATAAAGACAGCCACATTAATTTTTCTTTAAAATTGATAATGTACAGACATCGGCCTGTTACAATTTTATTATATGTAGATATAGATTAGATTTATTTGAAATTTTTAAATTGGAATACCCGGCATAAGTGTACATAAATAGACATGTACATACATATGCAATAAATTATTTTATTCGAATGGCGTCTATATTGAAATTACATAAAATAATAAAAGACAACCCTACGAACGCGACAATTCTGCGTGCAAAAGACTGAACTTTCAAGTAACATGGCAAATAATTACGTCCATTATAAAATATAAGTCTGTACATAAATTTCAATTTAAGAATAATCAGAATGAATGACCGATCATGCGTTAAAAGAAAATTACTTAGTTCGACCATCGATATTCGCAGCAATTATATGTATGGAAATGCACACATATATATGTATGTATGTATGTATGTATGCACATATTTGTACGAGCATAAAAGCTGTGACAGACGGCAAAGCTTATGCATATCGTCGTTTAAAGTACGAAACCGCGTATCGTCATTCTGCAAAACCGCGTAACTGACATTGGCTGCCAAAAATTGGATTTGCTCACATAAACTCTTGGCTCAATCCTTATCCATTCGCCCTGAAATAAACTACCCAGAAGTGCGATTGCTTTATAAAAAAGAGAACCATTTTGAAATATGGGTGTTTTTACACTCTAGAAAATGGTTTCTAAAACTTCACATACGCGGTTCTGCATTTTGCTGATACACGGTTTTGCACTTTAAACGACGATATCCTAATCTGGCGCACATATGCGCATAATAAATTTACCCTTACAGACGGCAGTAATGCGGATAAGCGAGCCGCAAGGTCGTGGGTTCCAGTCCCACGGCCAGTAGAATTTTCATTTATTTCGTTTTCATTCTTTCTTTTATGAGTTCCTTTTTTTCGTTGCGTTGCTTTCAGTTTTAGCTCCAAAAATTTAAATTAACTAATAGTGAAATAAAAAATGTGATATAAAATAAAGCAAATGAAAATAAAATAAAGTAAAATATATAAATATATAAATCAAATAAAATAAAAAAACTCAATTTAAATAGTAGTAAATATAAAATTTTTTTTTTTTGCAATCGCTCCAACCGAGGATCGAACCTGGCAGCTACAGGCTTGAAGCCCCCAAAACTCTCACCGCTCGGCTACCGCGAACGCGAAACTCGCCTGCTTTGTTAGCTTACTTGTACAAAAGACAACAGCAGGTCGTTTTTACCAGTGTTGTCATCGAAAATTCCCCGGATCCGAGTTAATTCCCAAAAATTTCGTGCATTTGTTCGGCTGCTTATGTGCATTTTGCAGAAGAGGAAAATGCATGAGTCAAAGAAAATAATGGCTGTTTATGCTAGTAATCGAGCCCGTTTGTCAACCGTATAAATTGACACGCAATGAAAATACAAAGGCATACATAAAATCACATAGCAGTGCAAGCACTCCGGCTATTGCGTGGGTCACGGTGCTTCATAGAACTTTTCACCCTTGCCCTTCATTATTCCGGCACGAGAGATGCAGTGGGTGTGTAGCCAAGCCACAGTCAAAGTATGCTAACTAAACGCCGAAAGCTCCGCCCAACAAAGGCCGGAGAAACCTTGATGAGCATTGCAATTGAAAAAAAAAAAAAAACTTATTTGGTAATTTTCTTAATACGTCCATTGTTTATTATAGTTTTTTCTTCTAAGAAACTGATTGGAGTTTTCTGTATTTACACTAACTCTTAGTGCTGCCGCTGTCTAAAGCAATATATGTATGTATCTGCATACATATTAACGTATATGTACATGCATGCATATGTATCTATGATGTGAATCTATCAAAAGCGTCTGGGTTGAGCACCCATTATAAAAGCGTAAAACAATCAAGATTTAGGTAGCACTTGAAGTTTTCAAGCGGACGGAGTAAACTCTTTCATTAGTCTACTGCACCTAATCGATCCAAAGCTTAAAGGATTTAAAAAAAGCAAAATACATTATGAATAATATAATACAACTGAGAAAGAGATCGTTCGCTGCAGTGTTCTTCATAAGTTTAATAGTGATGAGCGCAGTCGAAGCCGCGCCGCATCCCAAGCAAACACAACACGATATTCGACGTGGAGATTCTTATGATTTGGAAAATGAATCCAGCGCCGATAGCGAGAAGTACGATTTGCAAGGCTCTTCCTCTATCGGTTACGGGTACTATTCGTATCCGTACTTGGGGAGTGGTTTTTACGGCGGACATTATCCGTACTATGGAGGTATCTATGGATTAGGTGAGTCGCATCTTTGTTTATTTTCGGATTTGCGCTGATTTTAATGAAATTTATTTATTTTTATTACATTACATTTATGACCTAAATAAAAACATATTTATGTATATATCTGTGGTGTTAAGTAAAAAAATATGAGACCATTTTCAAAATGTTTAGTTTTGTTTAATATGTGCTTATTGGGAATTTACATGAGGCGATTTTTCAGGCGATTTTTAGTTGAAAGCAACAATCGCCTGGTGTAAACAGCCTTTCAACTAATCGCTTACAATGAAGTTGGTCGGCTCCCTACTTTCGTTCAACTTTTGGTTCAACTAATCGCCTGTGAAAGTTGAATCATGTAAATTCCCTATTAGATGTTTAAAATTATTAGGTACGATTGCAAAGTACCAGCGATAGATTCTAAATATTTGATGGCAAATGCAAGTGGCACTCTTTTGGAAAGTTTAATCGAGCTACATATATGTATGTACATAATTTATATATTTCTCGTATATTTTGACATCACAGATATCTACATATGTATGTATGTATGTTCAGTGTAACCTCTCCTACGATGACTTAATAGATGGACACTTCTTTTACAAGGTCTTAGGACATTTTCCAATACCAAGCCTTAGGTTTAATTTCCGGGCAAATTAGACTCTTAAGCGGACACCCCTCTTGGTTGGACGCGAACAGACATTTGTTTACGATTTCTCTTCATAACGAAGTCAAACAAAAACATCTCTTGAGTGGACGCGAACTCCTTTTAGGCGGACAAAGTAAGAGCACGAAGATATAAATCGCGTGTCAGAAAGGATCGCTGAATGGCTTATTCGAATTCTTCGCTTGTATAAATAAAACACTGAGCACTTTGGTTTGCAGGATTTCATTTAATGAAAATAGTGTTTGATTTCGTAGAACGGCTTTTTCGAACGAAACGCGACTGACTCCCTCCATTACGCTCTCTGCTTCGTGTCGTTCGTTATATTAGAGTTGCGTTTTGTTAGGTAGTATTTAGGGTGGCCTTGACAATTCGGCCTATTCTGACGACAAATCGCCCTCGATTTCATCAAAAATTAAATCGTCGTCGTCGGCTTTTTTTTCTCGGCGGCGTACACGGAACAGAATTTCTTTGCCATTACCTGATAACCGGGAATCTTCGAGGAGATAACGATCCTTGCTTAATACTCTTTGAATAATATAGGGCCCACGGTATTTAGGCTCTAATTTTCGACAATCTACAGATGCTGGTTCATCTTCGATGACTACTATGTCGTTTTCGGCGTATACTTTCGGCTTCGTGTGTTTCTTATCAAAACGGTGCTTCCACTTCTCAGGTTCTTTGTTTATATTGGTTGAAGCTTGCTCTCGTTTTTTAGCTGCGGTTAAAGTTGTAGTTTGGTCATCTGATATGTCATCGTGTATTGCAGCGATGAGTTGATTTTGAATCACATCTCGAAGCTTAAAGTCGAATACTAACTTGTTTGGGCTGAAGCTAGCCGTAGAGTTTTTCTGGGAATTTATAGTCCACTGGAGATCGCTAAGCGTTCGATCCCAGTCTTAAGGATCTTCGCTCGTTGTTCGGATAAATGTGAGTATGGTCTGGTTAGTGCGCTCCACTTGGCCATTTGCTCTGGGGGTGCGTATGGCGGTTTTGATATGTTGGATGTTGTTCTGTTCACAATACGATCCAAATACTTTGGATGTGAATGATGTACCCCTGTCGGAAACGATTTGTGTCGGAAGTCCAAAGTAGCTGGACATTTCGTTGGTGCATTTGGTTAGGTAGTATTTAGGGTGGCCTTGACACACGTAAGTGAAATGCTCGTTAGATACTCACATACTAAATGACTCCCGAATAAAATGTAATGATTTTCCATGTAAACATTTCGTTCGGTTTGCTCAGTCCTTTTTTGTTTTAACGATCTAACATAGAAGTATTTTATTCAAATTTAATAATTCTAAAATAAGCAACAAAAGTTTGCTCACGATGAGTGTCCGGCTAAGGGAGGTTTCACTGTATATAGGTATGTACATCTAATAAATTAATTGTTCTCTCTAGGTTATCCCTATTATGGTGGTTACTACGGCGGCTATCACGGCTTTCACGGTCATTACTGGTAAAAAATATTGCAAGGAAATGCATTTGTATGTACATTAAATCGTTTAAAATAGTATAAAAAGTATACAATATTTAAAAATATGTAAGTAAGTTCAAAGATACTGTAACTATACATGTAATGCGTAATATATTTTTTAAATAAGCTTTATAAGTTTAAAAAGTTCACAATACTTAAAAATAAATGAGTGCAAAGGCATTGTAATAACATATGTATGTACAGATATTTTTTAAGATTTAGGGACGTTTTATCAAGTAGCTTTTAAAATTTACCTGCCATTTAAACATAAATGTGTTTCTCAAAAAAAAAACAAATTGTTTGAAAAGCAGATATATTTTAAAAGCTACTTCAGAAAACGGCGCTTAGTAATTGATTTCAATCTCAAATAAATAAATATGCTCGGAAAAAAGTCAGCCAAATATATTTTTCTCAACACATAACCAAATCATATGTTGGGAAAATTATATTTAGTCGACGTAACTAAAATCTTTTATCGGCAGTGTAAATTTAAGGTTTGATAATGATGTTGGATTTTCTTTCAGGATACAGCCTACTGGCTTTTTGGCTTCATAGGCTTTGAAAGTAATTTTACAACCAACATATCTTGGGTACAAAAAAAAAACTGATTATGGTATGACCAAACTTGCGCATTTGTATATCGTCGATGTTTTTGCAAAGCAGCCTATCTGACGGCACTCAAATTTTACTGGAGAGCGAAAAAACTGTTACTCTTTGAAGGCACTGCCTTGATAGACAGTATTTTCTTTAGCTATTATGTATTTTACGCAGATGTTGTACGTCTAACAATCGTGTTAATTACCGAAATATCTCTGACCCACACTGACGTCTCAAGTCGGTGGAAATCTTCTGCGCTACGCCATAAGCTGATATCCAGCCGATGATGAATGCCTTCGCTGCACTTTCAGCTATTACACCAGCGAGAGGTACTGCCAAAGGCCATCACGAAAACCTGTCAATACACGTGAGAGAGTGTCAAACACCGACGGACGTTGGCAGCGTTCCAGCGATGTTAATATTTATGATGAAATCGATCATCAACTTCTGCGTAACGCCCTAGTGGGTTCTTCGTATGTCCTTTGTACCTTCGCTTTTTGACACGGAATACATTCGCGAACTATTTAAACAGCATCGGTATTCATTTAGGATTGTGTAGTTTATGTATTACCTTCATCCGAAAGCTACTCGGTGCGTGGGAGACGTCGCAAAAAATGTTTACTAGAGACCCTGGAAGCGGCATTTCTTTTAATGAAATGGAACGGTTCTCACCTGAATCAAGGAGTGTTTGGAATCGCATGTCGTTTGCTGGAGCTGCGGCCATCTTATTGAAGTCAATCGTGTCACTTTGTATGGTGTTGATTCGAGAGAGCAAGTTTGTTACACAAATACTCCCACGACCACAGGCAAAAATATTGGCTACAATTTGTCATTTTGTTTGCCATATATACATGGGCGTAGCCAGGTAGGGGCAGGGGGGTGCTCGAGCCCCCCCCCCTAACTTTCAAATTTTTCTTATATATATATAAAATAGTACCCTAGTAGTAAAGTTGGGAGTGTGCGTACGCACTGGAAGCATGCCTTCCATATATGACAACATGGTTGATTTGGTTTCTGGTTTTTCGATCTGGAGATAGCCATGTAGCTTTATGGATCTTTTTATGCTGGGACCTAGTACTACATATTGCCATGTTTCGGTCCTCTGAGAAGTCGATCAGCCTCACTCCGTTTTCGGAGGTTTCGTCGTGGAGACTGAATTTTCCGACAGTGGCGCCGAAAATCCCTTCCTTGCCCAACTTGGCATTAAAATCGCCAAGCACAATTTTTATATCGTGTCCAAAACGGATGTTTGGTTGCTACCCCGAGGATACATGGATATAAATATCTGGATTTGACCGCACGCTCAAGAAACACTTTTGGCCACTTCCAGGTGAATGGCAGTCAAAAGATTTTCTCACTTACGTGGACTTCTGCGCACGGAACCATCCTCCATTTAAACTGTTGTGCTGCATGAAAAAAAAGATATCGAATTTTGACATTCGGGCGGTATTAGTGTATGTATATAAATATAAAACGCGATTTTTTGACACTGGAATCTGGAGCTGATGGAAACTTAATACTTACGCATTCGTAATCAGCCCAAAAAAAGTCTATCAAAAATAGCTTCAACATTTGCCGCAACAATTTTTTTCCCTTTTTGTTGGCAAGAAAAAATCCATTCTAAGCGCTTAGATAAGCACCAAAACACAGGTAAATATGTATGTATACAGATACTCCCATAGTAAAAATGAACACATATTTTGTTCTAGTGCGATACTGGTCATAGATACAGATATGAAATTTTTACACAACATAGAATAAGAGGTAGCGATAATTTCAGCATACTTAGCTCAACTTTTGTATTTTTTTTTTTCGATTATATATATAGTATGTATTTAGTATGACACTGAGCAATTCAAAATGCATTTGGAAACTTTAATATTAATATACATACATAACTTACATAAGTGTGTTGCAAATATAGAATGATCATGAAAATAAATGGCAGTGCAACCCTTATGGGCGGTTATTCGAAGGCTACTTTCTGTACAGTTTTGTATCCGGTAAAAAAAAGTTCCTGTCACTTTTTAAACCCTTCTCGCATTCTGTGCACTCATGCAACTGGTAAATTTTTGTTACCATCTCATAAGCTAGTAAAAAAGCATTGCCCCGTGAAATATGCAATGCCAGACAATTTCCGCAAATCTTCATAGCTGAATTGCTAAATATTTTGATTGCATTACTAATGTGACCAACCGTACTTCTTTTTTCGCTTTTGGACTTCGTACTTTGATGTACAGTCAAATGTACTTCTTTGCGATATTTTGTACTTCAGGAGGGAGATTCTGTAACCAGTTAGCGACAATTTTCGGATCGCTAGGATATAAATGGTTTTGCGTTAAAAAGTACGATAACGATTGGAAAGTTGTCGCCAACTGGTTACAGAATCTCCTCTCAGGTCCTGTACTTCTCCGATGCTTTGGACGATCGTCACATGGCCTGGGCGATAAATTCGTTCAAACCACTAAAGTCGCCGGGGACCGATGGCATCATACCTGCGAACCTGCAAAAGGCTCTGAAGGTGTCGTGCAATTGGTTTGATCCTATTTATGCGAACTGCGTGAGGACCGGGTACATCCGCAAGGTTTGGAGGGTAGTCAGTTCTGCGTTAATCCCGAAGGCCGAAAAAGGCTCTCATGTTTCCCCTAGGGATTTTATTCCTATCAGACTCTTCGTTTTTGCTAAAATCGCTAGAGAGACTGAAAGACCTGTACATAAGAAACGGGATTTCTGAGCTTCCTGAGAGCTCAATATGCTTATTGCAAGAAAAGGTCGGTGAATACCGTCCTGCTCAGAGGAAGCCTTCACGCATGAAGATTATGCAGTAGGGGCCTTCGATATCGAAGGAGCCTTTAACAATGTCACTCCAGAGGCAATAGTCAAGTATATTCATAATCTAGGGGTTGAAACCAGCCTAATAAGCTTACTTAGTTACAGAACTGTCGCGGCGGAGTAGGGGAGCATCTGCACTCAGTGCAGAGCCAACAGGACCACTCCACAAGGTAGTGTTCTCTCTCCCCTGCTCTGGATTGCGGTTGTAAACGACCTTCTAGAGGAACTGGAAAAAGTAGGCTGTCGGGTGATCGCCTATGTAGATGATGTAGAACTTTGATTAAGGGACGATTTCTATACACCCTTTTTGATCTGGCTTAAGGTTACCTGCACCAGGTAACAAGGAGGGCAATCAACGTCGGCTGTCGTAGGAGCCTAACATTGAGGAAAAGGTAGGAAAGGTGTCGGTTGCCTTGTACCGCTGTAGGGGAGCTATCGGTAAAAGGTGTGGTATCTTGCCCAAATTAGTTCATTAGATATAGGAAACCAGATTTATGCCTATATTGTTTCAAGGAGCCTTTGTCTGGAGAAACTAACTAGAGAAGGCTACACTAGTAAAACACCCACACTGCGGATATTGCAGACAAGACTGTCGTAGCACGAACTGCTATTAGACTAAGGGAAACCGGGTCCTTTTGTAACATAAAAAACGAAAGGAAGACGGTTCGTTGTTGCAGAAAATGGTTTTATAGGGCACTTTAAAACACGTTATCTCTCAAGGGCTAGTGATGGGGTTCTGACAGGACATTGTGAGAATAGGAATTTCTACTGATGCTTTCGTATCAGCTGTCAAGAGGAAGATGGAGTGGAATCATCTCCACACTTTCTTTTAGACTGTCCAACCTTCGTGAGGCTAAGATGGAAGCATTTAGGCTGGCAGTTCTGAACACTGAGCCCTCACGGATCGAAATTAGCCGCATTCGAAATTTCATAATCGGCTCGCGGCGTTAACTTAGCCCAACCTAACCTGTACTTCTTTGAGCTATGAAATAGTTGGTCACATTATGCATTACCAACGTACCTAGAATCGCTGCGACAAGGAGTGGTCACGTGTTTTCCATACAAAAGTATGTTCGACAATTTTCTTTTATATGGAGAGCACTGCAAGCAAAAAAAAAAATACAAAAATTAACTCCGTTAAATTAACTGATTTTATGAATTAATATATTTATTCGTAATTTTTTATAGATTCTTTCCCCATAAGCCGATTAATCGGCATCGGTACCTGAAAAAAAAATTGGAATCGGTCGGACTCTAGTTATAGCTGCTATTTCGGAAATCACCACATCTCCTCGACAGATTTCTATACCGCGCTCCCTAGAATATGAACCAGCGGCTTCGCATTGTTTATGTTTTTTTTTGTCAATTTATATATTTTTAAGAATTTTGATATTTGTTTTTTTTTTTTTGATATTTATTGGCCTAATAAAAAATCATATTCAACAATTTTATTGAACTTGAGGCCGTTTTTTGGAAATAGAATTTTCCGCCTAAAACAACCAGAATAGACCTGCTAGAGAAGCTTTACTTCAGCTTAAAAATTTAACTAAATAAAAATAGTCAGTATATCTACGCAATTGTGCCGCGTATAATTTACGTATGTATGTACGTGCTATGTACTTGAATTGGTTGTAAGACGAACTTTCAATCATTAATGTAAGCGGCAGTTGAATGTTCCTGTTATTGATAAATTATACCTATACATATGTATATGTATACATAAATATGTATGGATATACATTAAATCTCCTGCTTAAACAA